TGGCAGACAGGTAAAGGGTTTAAAGAGATTTTCATTCTTTTTATCCAATCAAAGTCATTCATCTAATAAAAGAGAAAACCATAGGATTTCTCAAGAAATGTAATTAAAAAGCAACTGGCAATATTCAATACTGTTTCTTGATTAATAACACTAGGGAAATTAGGAACAGAAGGGACCATTCTTACTCTGATGAAGAACACCTATAAGAAAGCTACGTGTAACTACATAATTAATAGTGAAACCCTTGGCATTTTCCTAAGATGAGGAATAATATAAAGATGTCAGCTCTCACCTAGAACAATCATTCTGTAATTAGTAAAGAAATAAAAATAAAAGGCATAAAGATTGGAAAGGAAAAAATAAAACTACTGGTTTTGGCAGAGGGCAAAATTTTATGTTGACCTCCCTTTGAAATCTACAAAAAAAGCCTGTTGGAAAAAATTAATGAATTTAACAAGATCACAAAATACAAGGTGAATATATAGAAACGATTGTGTAGTGAGAATTTCTAATAATGTACTTTCACAGCTTTGAGAAATTTCACAAAAATAGCATCTGGAAAAATAGCATGTTAAGAAACTATGTTAATGATTATCTTTCATGTTTTCCTTAAGAATAATCTCCCTGTTACAAACCCCAAGTCCAAACCCAGAAGGGAGTATGACTGGGATCATAAAAGCATGGACCTTGCAATGCTGGTCAGTTTCAGGCACTAACACTGCCTACGCGCTTGCTAATCGTTCCCAAGACTAGCCCAGAAGGGAAAGGCCTGGGGTAAACACAAGGAGATCTGGACTTTGTCAGCATAGTCCATGACATTTAGGAGTATGTATCTTGAGAAAGATAAGACCTGAGAAAGTCTTGTAGTCTTCAATTAGGAATAAAAGCTGGACTCAGAATGGACTCTGCACCTCATTCCATAGAGGCTGCAGATCCGCTGACCCATTGCACCAGATTTCATGTTGTCTTCATTCTCCTCGCTTACTACCAGACCATTAGTGCAACAGATTGCAATTCTATGTACTAATAATAGAAATTTGGAAAATGAACTTTGTTAGAAAGATACCACTTACAAAAACATTAAAAAAATCAAATACCAAAGGATAATTTTTTTCAAAGATATGCAAGATATCTACTATGAAATCTACAAAATACCTCTAGGAGACAGGAAAGACCTCAGTGAATGGGGGGCTAGACCATGTCTATGAATGGGAGACTCATTGTTAAGGTATCTACTTTCCACAAACTACAGAATTTATAGTCTGTATATTCAGTCACAGGAGGAGTTTTCAAAAAAACTGAAACACTTTCTAAAAATCATATGAAAACGCAAACCATCTAGAATAGTCAGAACAATCTTAAAGAACAAAGAGGAATCAAACCAACTTGAAGGTTTAACAAGGCAATGGTAATCTTGGTAGTGTGATATTAGTATGAGCATATACATGGAAAATAAAAGAACAGATCTATACTTATGTAGTCTGGGCTTCCCTTGTGGTTCAGCTGGTAAAGAATCTGCCTGCAATGCAAGAGATCTGGGTTTGATCCCTGGGTTGGGAAGATCCCTTGGAGAAGGGAAAGGCTCCAGTATTCTGGCCTGGAGAGTTCGATGGATTTGTATAGTCCATGGGGTCGCAAAGAGTCAGACATGACTGAGTGATTTTCACTTTCATATATATAGTCTATAACTATTTAACCAAGATACCATGTCAATTCAGTAGGGAATGAAAAGTATTTTACAAATGTTGCTGAAGTAATTGGGTATCCCTATGGCAAGAATATACAGAACTGTACAAAAAAGATCTTCATGACCCAGATAATCACGATGGTATGAGCACTCACCTTGAGCCAGACATCCTGGAATGTGAAGTCAAGTGGGCCTTAGAAAGCATCACTACAAACAAAGCTAGTGGAGGTGATGGAATTCCAGTTGAGCTATTTCAAATCCTAAAGGATGATGCTGTGAAAGAGCTGCACGCAATATGCCAGCAAATTTGGAAAACTCAGCAGTGGCCACAGGACTGGAAAAGGTCAGTTTTCATTCCAATCCCAAAGAAAGGCGATCCCAAAGAATGCTCAAACTACTGCACAGTTGCACTCATCTCACATGCTAGTAAAGTAATGCACAAAATTCTCCAAGCCAGGCTTCAGCAATACGTGAACTTCCAGATGTTCAAGCTGGTTTTAGAAAAGGCAAAGGAACCAGAGATCAAATTGCCAACATTCTCTGGATCATCAAAAAAGCAAGAGAGTTCCAGAAAAAACATCTATTTCTGCTTTATTGACTATGCCAAAGCCTTTGACTGTGTGGATCACAATAAACTGTGGAAAATTCTGAAAGAGATGGGCATACCAGACCATCTGACCTGCCTCTTGAGAAACCTATATGCAGGTCAGGAAGCAGTAGTTAGAACTGGACATGGAGCAACAGACTGGTTCCAAATAGGAAAAGGAGTACGTCAAGGCTGTATATTGTCACCCTGCTTATTTAACTTATATGCAGAGTACATCATGAGAAACACTGGGCTAGATGAAGCACAAGCTGGAATCAAGATTACCGGGAGAAATATAATCTCAGAAATGCAGATGACACCACCCTTATGGCAGAAAGTGAAGAGGAACTAAAAAGTCTCTCAATGAAAGTGAAAGAGGAGAGTGAAAAAATTGGCTTAAAGCTCAACATTCAGAAAACTAAGATCATGGCATCTGGTCCCATCACTGCATGGGAAATAGATGGGGAAACAGTGGAAACAGTGTCAGACTTTATTTTTGGGGGGCTCCAAAATCACTGCAGATGGAGATTGCAGCCATGAAATTAAAAGACGCTTACTCCTTGGAAGGAAAGTTACGACCAACCTGGATAGCATATTAAAAAGCAGAGACATTACTTGCCAACAAAGGTCCATCTGGTCAAGGCTATGGTTTTTCCAGTAGTCATGTATGGATGTGAGAGCTGGACTATGAAGAAAGCTGAGCACCGAAAAATTGATGCTTTTGAACTGTGGTGTTGGAGAAGACTCTTGAGAGTCCCTTGGACTGCAAGGAGATCCAATCAGTCCATCCTAAAGCATATCAGTCCTGGGTGTTCTTTGGAAGGACTGATACTGAAGCTGAAACTCCAATACTTTGGCCACCTTGTGCAAAGAGTTGACTCATTGGAAAAGACCCTGATGCTGGGAGGGATTGGGGGCAGGAGGAGAAGGGGACGACAGAGGATGAGATAGCTGGATGGCATCACCGACTCGATTGACATGTGTTTGAGTAAACTCTGGGAGTTTGTGATAGACAGGGAGGCCTGGCGTGCTGCAATTCATGGGGTCGCAAAGAGTCGGACACGACTGAGTGACTGAACTGAACTGAACTGAACTGATAGGGGGATATTTCTATATACAAATATTAATTTACAATAGACCATAGACTTAAACATAAAAGCTGGAATAATGCACAGTTCATAACAGTACATACATAAGACAAATTCTTATGACCTTGGGATAAGCAAATATATATATATATATATATATATATTTTTTTTTTAGGACACAGAAAACACTATCCACGTAACAAAAATTGATAAGTTGGGCCTAATCAAAATTTTAAATGTCTGCTAATCAATCGGTGATTTAAAAAATGAATAGGCAAACCTGGAAAAATTTTTACCTTACTTCTTTCTGAAAAGGAACTGCCTCTCCCAAAGAGACTAGTAAGGTGAGAATTATCAGCAGACATTTGAAATTTTTTTTTCAGTTTTATTTATTTATTTTCTTTACAATATTGTATTGGTTTTGAATACATTGACATGACTCTGCCATAGGTGTACATGTGTTCCCCATCCTAATTTTTTAGTTTCTTTTATTATGGAGCTAGGGAAGAGATTATTTTCAATTCCCTGTTATTATATCCCATGTATTTGCTATAGAAAGATTTCATATTTGGCTTTATGCTTTCAAGTAGTTAATGCAAAGAAGGAAATAAAATCAGTTCCAAAATATCCTGTGTTCATAAATCAGAAAAGCCTCTGTCATTCTAGGTGGTAGTGAATCTGGAGAGAATTTACTCTTTATAGCAGTGGTCCCCAACTTTGTTGGCACCAAGAACCAGTTTCATGAAAAACAATTTTTCCATGGAAGGGGGGGGGGTGAGGAGGGGGGAGGGGGGATGGTTTAGGATGATTCAAGCACATTACATTTCTTGTGCACTTTATTTCTATTATTATTACATCAGGTCTACCTCAGAGCATCAGGCATTAGATCCCAGAGGTTGGGGACCTCTGCTTAAGAGAACATAGAATGAAATCCACATTACAAGAAAATGTCTTAACAAGTTGTCACTATTTAATGAATTCTTACTCTGGTCTAAATACTTTTATTTCTCACTTGATTAGCACAGAAATACAAGGAGTTTGGTATGATTATTCTCATTTCTCTCATATGAAATAACTTTTAGAATTGAAAATAACAAATATAATGACACTTGGGTAATTGAGTAAAGTACGCCAACAAAATCGGCAATATTGAGATGATAAAAATTAAGCATCTGGTTGAATAAACTCTAACACGCTCTGGCAGAGTGAGGAAGATTTAATACCGGTGTTCCAGTAGAGATGATCTGAGTGTCCTTTAAGATTACATGAAAATTTAATTCTAAAACTTTCAAAATATGTTCAAAACATGTAATATAGACAAATAATAAGGAGAGAGGATGAGAGAGTGAGAGAGAGGAAGAGTAGCTAGAAGATGCTGGACCACAGTGGAGAAGGACTAGCCAAGGGAGATGGAACATGAGGTCAGGAGTCCCGGAGCTTGAGGCTGAAAATCCCTGGGCATTTTGCATGCACCAGGAATCAGGGACACCCAAGTAAGTTAGAGTATGATGCCTGAGGTCTGAAAGCCCTCTGCTATAGTATTATTTTGGGAGCTCAGTGTCTGGTACAGCAGTGTGACCCAGTTAGGAGAAATTCGGGTGCACAACACAGGATGCATTCACCGTCAAAGCAAGCACTATTACCCCTGGGCACTCAAGGATGCCAAGCTTGGAGTTTTCCTGGGGAGTCGGCTTGGCACTGGTGGCATGTGGTACCTTACGTGTTTCCAGAACTTGGAATTCAGGGACCGCTTGTTGGCCACGTCGTCCTCCCTCCACTTGATGGTCCCCTGAACTTTGATGAGATGCTTCAGGGAGTCCTGAAGCTCCTCAAGCTGCAGGCCGCCAGGCGGGCACAGAGCCTCCATTTCAATGAGGATGGCCTTGGAGTCCTGCTGAATGAGGGTGCTGTGCAGGGCGATCTCCCGCTCGTAGGTGAACTCCTTGCTATGCACGATCTCGGGAGTGAGGATGAAGAGGTGCCGCCTGCTCATCCGGATGCTGGTTTCCACTGTGCTGGCTACATCTAGTGATAAAAGACACGGCGGGAGAGGTAAGGACCCGCACACCGCTGTCACCGCGCCAGTCAAGCCCTCTTCTCTCCCAGGCAGAGCAGTCCAGATTTCTTCAGCTCAGGGGGAACAGAGAGTTACATAGCAGGAGACTTGGAATTCAGGTTCACTGTCTACACGTTGTGGCTTCCCTGGTAGCCCAACTGGTAAAGAACCCATCTGCAATGCGGGAGATCCCAGTTCGATCCTTGGTTTGGGAAGATCCCCTGGAGAAGGGAACAACTACCCACTCTAGTATTCTTGCCTGGGGAAGTCCATGGACAGAGGAATTATCTACACATTATCTTCCTAGAATATTAGTTTACATGTTGCAAAAGGACTTAGAATTATTAAAATGTTTTGATTTTTAATTGGAGGATAATTGCTTAATAATGTTGTGTTCCTTTCTGCTGTACAACAACATGATTCAGCCATAAGTATGCACATATCGCATCCATCTTGAGCCTCCCTCCCAACCCCGCTTCATCCCACCCTCTAGGTCATCACAGGGCTCCCAACTGACTTCCCTGTGCAGTATAGCTACAATATCCATTGTAATGTGTATACTTCCATGCTACTCTCTCTCTGACTTAGAATTTTAACTCTTATTAAACAGCACAAACTCAGGAACCTTTGCTTCTCTGAACTGACTCAAGTCTCAGGAAGTCTTGGATCCACTTTGCTCCCCACCCCCAGCCCCCCCGTAATCTCTATTGTAAGCTACTTTTGATTCAAACTAGGGAAATCTTAAGGAAGATGAGATCCTTTGTCAAGCCACTGTTTGTGGACCATCAGCTCTACAGTGGTTTCCCTTAACTTCTGAGTGGAGTGAAACAAGTAAAACACGCAGCTGTCAGAGCAAGGAGGGAACTGTGATGGAGGAACAACCATGAGAAAAAAAAACAAGTCCAGACATTCTTAGAGAGCAGGGGCCAAAGATTGCCAGTCCACAGGGTTGGAAACAGGGAATAAGTGTCAATAGTGCCAGCCAGCGACCTTGTGTCAGTAGATCCTGACAGAAATCTCAGAATACTTGAAAGCACTGAATGGAGAGAGTTTAATGAAAGGACAGTTGATCAAAGGTGTGGGCAGAGTCAAGGGAAATCAATGAGAGATGCTCAGACCTCTACAGCTGGTGGCATCAGAGGGTGACAGTCACCCTCCAGGTGTGGAAGTGGGGACGGTCATGGAGCCCGAGGTGTGTGCCTGGAGGACCAGCTGACAGGAGCCAGCGCTCAGCAGGGAGAAGCACGACCACCTGGGCTACCCCGCCCGGAGGGGACCAGGGGTACACCCTGCCCTCTGAGCACCTGCCTGCACCTCCCATTGGCCACGCCCGGCGTGAAGCAGATGATGCCTTCCACAAAGATCAGTCACCAGGCCACTGGACGGAGCAGGGCGGTGCAGAGCGGGCTTGTAAGGGCAAAGGGCAGGTAACCGTCATGAGAAGAAATGCACCTCAGGGGCCAGTTAGGAACTTTTTCTAAGGGAAAAGTGAATTTGGGTGTTGGTTTTTAATTTATTTTGGTTGAGGTGAGATCAGAGGACATGGGCTTCCCAGGTGGCGTAGTGGTAAAGAATCCGCCTGCCAATGCAGGACACATTAGAGATGTGGTTTCCATGCCTGGTCAGGAAGATCCCCCGGAGAAGGAAATGGCAACCCACTCCAGTACTCTTGCCTGCAGAATTCCGTGGACGGAGGAGCCTGGTGGGCTACAGTCCATGGGGTCCACAAATAGCCAATGGGGAGAGCTGGAGGAAGAAGGGCGCCTTGGGAGAGATGTGGGTTGCATCTTCCAGAATTGTATACTCTACCGTTCTACCAAGCTGGTACTAGGCCATTAACATTACCTAAATATTTCAGGATAAATCAGATTCACCTGTGATATGTTCATTTACTTCTTTTTAAAAAAATTAATTTATTTGTTTTAATTGGAGGCTAATTACTTTACAATATTGTAGTGGTTTTGCTATACATTGACATGAATCAGCCATGGGTGGACACGTGTCCCCCATACTGAAGCCCCCTCCCCCCTCCCTCCCCATCTCATCCCTCTGGGTTGTCCCAGTGCACCAGCTTTGAGTGCCCTGTTTCATGCATCGAACTTGGACTGGTGATCTATTTCACATATAGTAATAGACATGTTTCAATGCTCTTCTCTCAAATCGTCCCACCCTCGGCTTCTCCCACAGAGTCCAAAGTCTTCTTTATATCTGTGTCTCTTTTGCTGTCTTGCATGTAGGCATCTGAATCCCTCTTTGTGGTAGGAATGCCAGTTTAAACTCACAGTCTATGAAACGAACCCTCCCTCATTCCTGTTCCAAATGCTTCCTGGTCCCTGAGGAATTCGAGTAGCATTAGAAGGAGGGTTTCCAAAGTGCCTTTGTTCAGGACCCTGTCCATCTTGGGGTAGCTACAGGAAGGAGGAAATTAACACATCCCCTCCCTGAGGCTGGCCATTCTAGGAGATATTTGAAAGATGAATGGGCTTTTTACTTGGCTTTCTCACCTCCCCCACCCATCTCTGTTCTATAAAAGAACCTGGCATCCAGACCCCAACAAGTTGATTATTTTGAGACGTTATTTAGGGAAAGAAGAAACACTCCTGAAATGCTAGAATTGTGACCCAACTGTCAAAAGCACGTGAAACTGACTAGGAGTATTAAGAAACAGAAGACACAATTCTATCTGTTCTTGTGACGACATAAATTTGCAAATGGTTCATCAGTGTCAGGAGAGTTATAAAAACTTTGAGTCCTTTCAAATATGTTAGCCAGTGCCTCTGAATAGGAGAATATAATTCTTTGGATGTTAAGTCTTTCAGATCTAGACAGACTTCAGAGATTTCAGTTCTCCTCGTGGTGGACACGGGAAGTGAAGCAGGGGCGGGTGGATGTGCTCAGTTGCTCAGTCACGTCCAACTCTTTGTGACCCCAAGAACTGTAGCCCGCCAGGCTCCTCTGTCCACGGGATTTTCCAGGCAAGAATACTGGAGTGGGCTGCCATTCCCCTTTTCAGGGGATCTTGCTGACTCAGATTGAACCAGTGTCTCCTGTATCTTCTGCATTGGCAGGTGCACTCTAAGCACTGCGCCACCAGGGAAGCCCGAAGTAGGGGCTGGGCCCTGCCAGATTCACAAGCAAGGATGTCTTACCCTGTCTTCACATCACTGCCACTCCTGTGAAGACCTCAGGATCACAGTGGTGATGGGGACAGGAGAAGAAAAGAAGTACTTCCTTCTTCTGGAGAAATATTTATAAGTTCTGGTCCTAAGACCTGGAATAATGATCACAACTCCTGATCCAAGAGCTCATCACTTAACTTTCTGAAGAATGAGAGTTTCTGGCCCTGATGGCTGTGGATAAGTTTACCTTGTCCAGGGAGCAGGTCTCTCCCATAGATGCATAAGTTGTAACCATATTTATTTTCAAGAACATCGGGCAGAATCTGGTGAACAAAGTATTCCACAGAGCTGGCTCCCTCTGGACTGTTTTTGCAGCTTCGTGGATAGATCACATAAGCATCATAGATCTTCCCATCTGAGCATGAGAACAAGGAGCACAACATTATTTACTGGTCCTTAAAAAATTCTCATTTTACTCTTGATAGACATTTCTCTTGGAATTTTAGGATTATTGGTGAAGATACCACATCCCCTCAAATATTCTAGAATCCAGAGAGGATGACAACAATCTACTGTCCCCAAAATGTCATCAGGAAGTGACTTCCCAGGTGGCACAGTGATACAGGATCAACCTGACAATAGAGGAGATGCAAGAGACTTGGGTTTGGTCCCTGGGTTAGGAAGACCCCCTGGAGCAGGAAGTGACAATTCACTGCAGTATTTTTCCCTGGGAAATCCCATGGACAGTGGGGCCTGGCAGGCTACAGTCCATGGGGTCACAAAGAAGTCAGACATGACTGAGCACACACACAGTACAGTCATCAGGAAACTAGTCTTAGTCCCAACATTCTCCTTTTTACTGTCTCAGACTTGAACAGAGTTCAAGTTGAACTTGAACAGAGTTCAAGTTGAACAGAGTTCAAGTTGTTCAGATTGAACACAGACAAGTGCCTGACCAGTTTAGTTCAAACCATATTGTCCTGTTTGATTAATAATATATTAATAAGTATTTATAGTCACAGATAAGGGATTTTTTTGCTGTGCCAGGCAGATTTAAATTTTAGTTTTTGTTTTTCCCATGGGGCAGTGAAAATGCTAAAAGGTAGTTTCTTGGTGGCAAGGGAGGAGAAATGTTTAAGGGGTCTGAATTTCTCACAAATCAAACAATTAGCTGTAGTTGAGTGACTCATATGGAAAAATCTAAGTTTTATCTGCCTCCGAATAAAAGAATGGTGTTCATATTTAGCAGGTATAACTGCTTCCTTTCATGTGTATACATACGTAGGGAGGTAAGACTCTTTATGGAACAGGGTTTCTGGTAAAAATACACCTACAATCTGATGGACCTTTCTAACATGTTCACCTCTGGAAAAGAGGAACAACTTTGTAAATGTTTGACTTCCATAAAGTTTTACCAGTACAAATTTCCCCAAATGCTCTTTCTGGGGTGGGAGCAGATTCTGTTATTGAGGAATTAGTAAGAACAGCAGTTCTACTGGGAAGAAAATTGGAGCCGTTTAGGTGAATTTCAAAACCACAAGGAATGACCAGACAGGATGAAGAGTGTCCTCTGAGTACTCAAAAAGATTTATTGATAATATGCTAATAATAAGAGAAAATCTAGGTTTAGTATCATAACTATTAAGAGATTATTAGAAGCAAACAACAGCCAGTATAGAACCTTTTCTATTAAAGAAAATTTGAAACTTGCCACTTACCATTCCTAGTTTTGGAAGGTCTAGCTATGTCTCTCCAGAACAGAATAATCTCAATCCAGAACACTTTTAGAATTATCACCAAGCCATTGATTAGTAATAATAACAGGCTAAATCCTGCAAGCATGTAGTAGGTACTTTGTTGATCCACTATTCAAAAGATGGGGGAGGAGAAAAATGATCATTATTATTTCTAAAACAGAAGAAAATAAAAAAACACATGGGTGTTGGCATCCATTGGGAGGACAAGAAATTCGCACAAGGACTGCCTATGTGGAATTCTCGTGGCTGTTTCAAGAATCAGTAAATTAATGGTTATTGAGCCTCTATTCTGTGCAAGGCACCGGGTTAGGCATTGTAGGGGATTTTCAAAGCATAAGACATACAGTTGTTCTTGCTCAGTCAGGTCTGACTCTGCGCCCCCATGGACTGCAGCACGCCAGGCTTGTCTGTCCTTCACCATCTCCTGGAGTTTGCTCAAACTCATGTCCATTGAATCAGTGATCCCACCCAACCATCTCATCCTCTGTTGTCCCCTTCTCCTCCTGCCTTCAGTCTTTCCCAGCCTCAGGGTCTTTTCAATATAAAAGATAAAGAGACACATGTAAACTTAGCTAAGATAGGAAGTGAAAGCATCAGTTTTAGCTCAAAGAGGTTTTAGGAAGTTGTACGCACTGTGTGCTGGACTAGCAATTGGAGACTTCCTGCGGAATGAGGTCCCTGGAAGATGAGTGAGATTCGGAGAGTTTCAAAAGAAGAAATGCGCTCCTGGCACGCAAGGATGCTGTGATCCCAAGGGCAGAGATGGGAGTGTGTTTTCTGAGGAAGACAGATACTCTAATCTGGGGAATTGCTGGAATACATGATTGGAAAGCTGGCTCTAGGCCCACGTTCTGATCAGACTGGAGGGTCCAGCTAAAGCATTTTGTCTCTGTCCTGGCTGTGGGAGCCACTGAAGAGTGTTGAGTGGTTCCTTAACAATAAAGGTGGTTTTCAAGCAAGATTAGTCTGATGGCATGAAGTTTTGTTTCCGTGGCCAATAGATCCTCGGAGTAGAATGAGATGAGAAGTTTCTGCAGCATGGGAGGGGCCAGATTCATGTAATAAGGAGAAAGGAATGGACAAGCTTGGCATTGGTGGCATCAGGGAGAAATAATCAACAGGTCTTTAGAGACTTATCACATCTGGGGTTGGTGACACAGGAAAGCAAAAGGGAAAAACAAGAATTTTGTAAGTCTCTAATGAGTGTTTGATGAAGTCAAATTACTGGGTTTTGGGTCCTAAATACACCGTTATTTCCCTTCTGTTGAACATTTTTTAGCCACTGCTGCACCTTTACCTTTACTCATTGCTTCACAACATATATACGAAAGATGGTCCCCATCTGGACTGTATCAGATATATACAAACTGAATGTAAGGACTGTGCTCATCAATAGTAATTTTGGCTGTTGTAAGTTTACTTCCCACTTTAAAATTGTTAACCATCCTATCTTACAAATAGTCTTACTTAATGATAAATGTGAGGAGACTCAAATGAGATTTGGCTGTATAGTTCCCTTTTCATTTCCATCTGATCTCAAAACATAGGCTCCCAGTTTTGCCAAAGAAAATCACTGGTCCAGATTTGCAAATTCTTTCATTAGTTCATCAGCTCCCTGACTATCTAGCACTATGAAATCAAGAATTACCAAGGTGGGGAATTCCCTGACAGTCCAGTGGTTAGGACTCTGCACTTTCTCTGCAGGCGGCACAGGTATGATTCCTGGTCAGGGAATTAAGATCCCACATGCCTAATGGCACAACCAAAAAAAAAAAAATTCTTTTTAATAAAAAAAATGTACAAAGAATGACTAAATTGAGCTGATTAAAAACTGAAAATTGTCAGTGAGCCTAGTATCTGTCTTGTCATCAGTTTAAATGATAAATATTCCCTACATAAATTATTTCAACTTGATTCCTCTCCAGGTCACTTTTTCTAAAAATAATATTTGGACATGCGCTGGGAATCCCAATTTCTTGCACAATATGCATGTGACTGGTTTACAAGCAGAAAGAAGTTAATTCAAGAGATTAAGAGAATTTGAAGTTCAGTATCTTCCTAAATGTTACTTTACAAATGCATCAGTCAGTTCAGTTCAGTCGCTCAGTCGTGTCCGACTCTTTGCGACCCCATGAATCACAGCACTCCAGGCCTCCCTGTCCATCACCAACTCCCGGAGTTTACTCAAACTCATGTCCATCGAGTCGGTGATGCCATCCAGCCATCTCATCCTCTGTCATCCCCTTCTCCTCCTGCCCCCAATCCTTCCCAGCATCAGGGTCTTTTCCAATGAGTCAACTCTTTGCATTAGGTGGCCAAAGTACTGGAGTTTCAGCTTCAGCCTCAGTCCTTCCAATGAACACCCAGGACTGATCTCCTTTAGGATGGATTGCTTGGATGTCCTTGCAGTCCAAGGGACTCTCAAGAGTCTTCTCCAACACTACAGTTCAAAAGAATCAATTCTTTGGTGCTCAGCTTTCTTCACAGTCCAACTCTCACATCCATACATGACCACTGGAAAAACCATAGCCTTGACCAGACGGACCTTTGTTGGCAAAGTAATGTCTCTGCTTTTTAATATGGTATCTAGGTTGGTCATAACTTTCCTTCCAAGGAGTAAGCGTCTTTTAATTTCATGGCTGCAATCACCATCTGCAGTGATTTTGGAGCTCAGAAAATTAAAGTCTGACACTGTTTCCACTGTCTCCCCATCTATTTCCCATTGAGTGATGGGACCAGATGCCATGATATAAATAACCCTTATATGTGATGCCTAACACTGAATATTTTCCATAAGTGTTTATAAACAGGAAAAGCTGCTTCTGAGTCCTGGCTCATAGAACTGCACAATTAGTCAACCTCTTTCAATTTCCTAATCTATAAAAGTAGACAATAATAATAGTAACTTCATTATGGATTTTTTATAAAACAAATGAAAAATTATATGAAAAATAGTGACTGGTCCTCATATTTAGAGAACAATGAATAAATGCTTATTATTACTATTATTATTATTATTGCCTAATGGCTCAGACAGTAAAAAATCTGCTTGCAATGTAGGAAACCTGGGTCAATACCTGCACTGGGGGATCCCCTGGAGAAGGGTGTGGCAACCCACTCCAGTATTCTTGTTTGGAGAATCCCATAGACAAAGGAGCCTGGCGGGCTACAGTCCTTGGGGTCACAAAGAGTTGAACACGGACTGAACGCACACATTATTATTATTAATAGTAGTAGTATCAAATGTTGAATATTTAATCATATGGGGACATAGGCTTTTAAGTTTTCATTTTTAAAATTCAGGACAGTGTATAATTTCTTCTACTGTATTATTAGAAACAAAGAAACTTATTGTGACCATTAAAAACAGTTGCAACAATTTTTGTTTAATTTACACAGTTATTGAGACAGAGTATAATTGTGTTGATTTGAAGAAAAGCAGGTGAAAGTTAACATATAAAGATGATTTAGAAGAAACAAAATCACATGTATGTGTAACATGAGAACAATTCCAGCTGGGAGCTCTGTGATGACCTAGAGGGGTGGGATGGGGGCAGGGATGGGAGAGAGATCCAAGGTGGGAGATATATGTATATGCATAGCTGATACACTTAGTTGAACAGCAGAAATGAACACAACAAAAGCAATTACATTCTGATCAAAAAAAAAAAAGAAAGAAAGAAAACAATTCCAATACACAGGGACCTAGAGAACATTCATAAAATGACAATGTGAGCACAGACAGCAATGGGATAAGGACACCATGGCAGAGCTGGGTCGGGTGGCTTCCCTTTTCCTGTGGGGCCTTCCGTGCCCACCAGCACCACAAATGTCACCATAAAATGACATCTCATCAGGGTCAACACATCCTGAGATGACATGGATATATATATATATAGTTATATATATATATATATAACTAGCAGAATCCTGACAACCCATGGAGCATGATAATAATATTTAAAATCATCTACAGCAGTCATAGTTCTGTTGTTTTATAAAAACTTACAAATCAGTGGTTTGTGTTGAATTCAAACAAGAAAAATCCAAAAGACCACCTCAGGCAAAGACTAAATAACTCTATCAAATTAGTTAAACTTCCCCATCTCTCCCAATCAAGTGGTGCCTCTGTGGGTTTATCCAAATTAATCTGGACTTTACCCCACTTGGGCTTCCCTGGTGGCTCAGCTGGTAAAGAATCCGCCTGCAATGCAGGAGACCTGGGTTCGATCCCTGGGTTGGGAAGATCCTCTGGAGGAGGGCATGGCAACCCACTCCAGTGTTTTTGCCTGGAGAATCCCATGGACAGAGGAGCCTGGCAGGGCTACAGTCCATGGGGTCACAAAGAGTCTAACACGACTGAGCACCTAAGCACAGCACAGTACCCCACTTATGCGTATAAACTGGGAGTTGAATTCTCCCTGTGACTATATGACAAATACATTAAATAATTTCTACATCATCACACATGGAGTGACAAGAAAAGATATCAAAAATTTCCCTGCATCCTTTTTTACACTGGAATAAATGCTTCATGTTACCAATGGAGTGTCTTTACTTGGATGTGCAAACAAGTGAGAGAATTGACAGGTGCTCAGGAAGGAAGTGTTTGTGAAACTATGTTTTGCTGCCATCATTGTGCACAGTTGTACATGGAGGGAGTGGAAGAAAGACGCACTCACTCCCAGGGAGAAGGCGTGTGTCCTTACTGACTGGTTTAACAGGGTCTGAGTGTGCTGATCGTAAAAAGCACAGTGACAGTTCAAGGGCTTCCTTTCTGTCTTGAATTCTGTCTCTCTACACAATATATACCTATCTCTATATACAGTGTATATATGTGTAATGCCTACACCCAAGACAAATCTTTTCTCCCCCTGCCTTCTTCAATTTGTGAGATGGAGCATTCTGTTGTCTTGATGGATTTTCCGGCAACCACCGGCCAACGCACTGTTCTCTGAGAATATGATTTCAGCTTACAGTTGATACAGCAAACTCAAGTGACTGCAGTCTCAGAAACACGCCTTACTTGGGTTTTTCCTCCACAGTGTTACAGTGTGCGTGACGAAGCCGTGGAAATTCATGGCCAGACACTCATACTTCCACGTCAAATCCTCTTCTTTGACCTCCTCGATTTTTAAAACAGCTCTTTGGCAAGTCAGCTCACCACTAGGATTAAACAGCAGGCTGTTACTTCCAGTGCTTACTGTGCAGCTGCAAACCAGGGGGGAAGGTGGGGGCTGCTTTAACTGCCATTGAAAAATACCTTTGCATGCGCTCCTGCATCACTTGTATTCTCGTTTCACCAAAGTTCTTAACCTCACTTCCGTTCACCCACCAGAAGGCCTCAGCCATGACCTGACGGCCTTTCCCAAAGCAAGCCAAGCACGTTATGTTTGTTGGTTTTCCTAGATGAGAAGGAAAGAAACTCACCAATAAAATTCTGTTCAAATGGGATTTAATTTAAGGTGAGAAAAATTCACTGAACACCCTCTGTGTGCCATGAAAGAAAAGTGAAACTGTCTCTAACTCGCATCTCTTTTTGACTCCATGGACTGCAGCCTGCCAGGCTCCTCTGTCCACGGAACTTTCCAGGCAAGAATACTGGAGTGGGCTGCCACTCCCTTCATGGATCTTCCTGACCCAGGGAGCCAATCCTCATCTCCTGCACTGCAGGCAGATATGTGGCCATAAATGGATCCCCATTTTCCTTCTTCATCATCAGCACCTTCTTCTTTCTCTGCCCCCCTTTGCCTCCTCCTCTCCTCTCCCAGCATCTTCATTTCACTCACAGGTCAGGGTGAAGCTCAGCCCCCTCTCCCCTCTCCTTTTTCCCCTGCTTTGCAGCAGAAACTCAAGAGCCTTCACCAATGCCACATTGTAATCTAAGATTTCCCTTTACTATACATTGAAATTTATCTTTTTTAATTGGGGTATAGCTGCTTTAAAAAAAAAAATGGGATAGAGTTGTTTGGGTTTCCCAGGTGGCTCAGTGGTAAAGAATCCTCCTGCCAATGCAGGAGACACAGGTCGATCCCTGGGTTGGGAAGATCTCCTTGAGAAGGGAAGGGCAACCCCATCCAGCATTCTTGCCTAGGAGATCCCACGGACCGAGGAGCCTGGCAGGCTCCAGTTCATGGTGTTGAAAAGAGTGGGACACGACTGAGCACCTGAGCACACATAGTTGCTTCACAATGTTCTGTTAGTTCCTTCCGTGCAACATCACGAATCAGCTGTATGTATGCACATATCCCCTCCCTCTTGGACATCCACCCCTCCCCACCCTACCCCACCTCCAACCCAACCTTCCAGGTCGTCACAGAACGCCAAGCCCAGCTCCCTGCCCGACAGAGCAGGTTCCCACTAGCCGTCTGATTCACACACGGCAGTGTATATACAGCAGCCCGAATCTCCCGGTTCATGCCACCAACCCCACCATTTCCACACATCCATTCTCTACATCTGCGTCTCTGTTCCTGCCCTGCAAACAGGTTCATCTGCCCTGTTTCTCTAGATTCCACATATATGCATTAATATACAATATTTGTTTTTCTCTTTCTGACTTTTTTCACTGTGTGGGGAATATTACTCAGCCATAAAAGGGAATGAAATTGGGTCATTTGCAATTTCTTTTTAATGGCTGTCTTCCACTCCTTTCTCATCCTACCAAATCCCCCTCCTTTCCCTGTTATTACCTTGGTAGGTAAAACCATTTCACCTGACTCAGCTACAACTCCATGATTTCTAACTATTCCACTATTTATTATCTTCTAACAAGAGCCTCTCTACTCTCCCTCCTGTTAATTTGAGACTTCCTCCTTCAGAGGAAGGACTTAAGGGCTGTTTCCTGCCTTAGGACAGTACATTCAGCTGTCCCCTACTGAGTTCATCATTCCTGGGTCAAGAATTAGGCATTCAGGGACTTCCCTGGTGGTCCAGTGGTTAAGAATTCTCCTTCCAGCGCAGGGGGTGTGAGGTCAATCCCTGGTCGGGGAGCTAAAAGATCCCATATGCCTCACGGCCAAAAAGCCAAAACGTAAAACAGAAGCAATACTGTGACACAATCAGGAAAGACTTTAAAAATACTAAAAAAACAAACAAGAGGCATCTGAAGAGAGAAAAGGAGCTTAGAGTCTCCCAGGAGGTGACAACGGTATAATCTGTGATCATCGGAACACAAGGTACTCTAGTGTTCTTATAGAAAGATGGGGCTTCCCAGGTGGCGCTAGTGGTAAAGAACCCGCCTGCTGGTGCAAGGAGATGTAAGAGATGTGGGTTGCGAGTTGGATCCCTGGGTTGGGAAGACACCCTGGAGAATTCTTGCCTGGAGAATCCCATGGACAGAGGAGCCTGGCGGCCTACAGTCCATGGGGTCCCAGAGAGTGGGACATGACTGAAGTGACTTAGCACAGCACACATTGATCTGTCTAAGCCTAACCATCCACAAACATAAAGTGGGACAATATCTACCTCTTGGACAGGAGCAAGAGGGAAATGAGGCAACACGGGCAAAAGCACCAAAGCACAAAAAGCAAAGCAGAGCACAGAACAAATATAAGTGCTGTATGTGGTGGTGAGCACATACCCCTGATACTAGAAAGTGCCCAAGATGGGTGTTTGCAAGTATATCTCACTCAATCCTCAAGACCTGCTATGGAGATAGCCTGACCCTGGGGTCACATGGAAGTTTTTCCAGGCAAAAATTTTACAGTATTCTTATAGTTTTCTTACCAATTTCCACTTCCTTTATTTCATTTTGTGCAGGTGCTTTAATTTCAGGAGGCAAAGAAGAGTGCTGCTCCTCTGAAATTAAAGACAAAGACAGAATTTCAGTATTTGGAGAGCACTGAGTAGCCGAAAATACAAAGCTTGTATTTTCATATTTCTGTCCTATTTCATAGCGACGTTTCTCACATCTTTCGAAAGTGATCCATGGCAACAAGCACACATGTATACACATACACCTGCACACACAAATTAAACAAAAACAGTCAAACAACACCTTTCTGCTACTAGCTATGTTTTTTTTTATATTTTCTCTTCTCTTTTTTTATTGTTATAACAAATACTATGCAAACCATTAAATGAATTGCATAATGTAGCAATTGCCAGAAAACCTCATTTCTATAGAATAGGCAGAACACTACAGGGAAGATTTCCAAAGGCCCATGAAAGTGATAAACACGTAAGTCTACACTTGTACTCACAGCCTTCCACCTGTGTGGCTCACCGTATCAGAAAGTTCAAATTCCTATAGCATTGTTGCCTAGACATGGTAAAAGTATTCTCAGAGGTTTTATAAATAGAGAGAAACCTATTTAATCTCTAGTATAACTAACTGAATTAGAAATTAGTTCTAATGGAGCACAGATGCATTCCTGTACCCCTTGATTCTCACTTATTTCAGAATGCTCTGATTAAGGACCTCTGTGGGATTTGATGTTGATCACTGAGAGATACTAACACAAATGTGGTCCAGTGGTGTTCATTTTACAGGGGTGGGGCACCGGAAAACTCCAGACAAAACTCTTGTCCACTATTGTTCTGCCCGAAGAAATGTGCCAGGCATATAGGTTTCATCTATACTCCCAGATCAAGCTATGTTGAGGAGACCCCAACTCTTTGTTGATCTTTCAGGTTTGATTGTGAAGCCTTTCCCCTGATGGATTTTTATAGAATGTAAAGTGAGCTTGAAATAAAAATTAGAATTAAATGACCTACCTAAGGTTGTAGATGATGCTGAAAGCCTTGCAAATCAAGATTGAAAACCACCCAATAATACCTATGTATCTCTTTATAAAGCTTCTCATTGTACTTCTAATCCAGTTAGTTATATCAGAGAGTAAACAGATCTTGCTCTACTTACAGAAAGTCTGACAAGGCATTGGGAGAAAGAGAGCTAATCCTGCTCTTCAAATAGTTGAGCTGCTGTTCAAAAAAATGTTAGGTGATTGCATTACCTTTGAAAAATTAAAATATAGAGGAGAGAGCAGATGTGGCTTTGAATTAGTAGTGTAATTTCACCCCCTGCCCCCAAATGTGTTAAAACTTGATGGTGTATAATATAGAAAAGCTCCTTGCATCATATTAGAGAATGTGTAAGAAAAGATGAGCCAGGAGGAAGTTCACGGAGGAGGATAAAATACAGGCAAATCAACAAGAAGGACACAATTTCTCTAACTTTATCTTTTTTCAGTATTGCCCTTTGTTACATTTAGTAGCTTACCAGTAACTGTGAATGACCTGGTTGCTGTTACAATATATTTGACTCCATATTCGTTGTGCATAAATTTACATGTATAATCACCAGTGTCCTTGTCGGTTGCATCATGAATCAGCAAAAACGTCTTATGTGCCAGGTACCTTGGTCCTTGGAGAACTTCACAGTTCTGAAATGAAAGGTTCCAGTCCACTTTTAGTAATTCTTTCACATCTATTTTGGTTGTGTATTTTCATCTATTTCCCTGCAAGTTTCTTTTTACCTTAAACCACTCAACAGGCTGTGTCCAATTGTAGCGGTCAATTGTAGGACAAAATATTAGGGACTTTTTTTCTGATCCAGATGTCGTTGAGTATATCAGATAATCTAGAATATTGCAATCTGATTGCTTTTCAAAAATGGTGACGTTCACATATCCAGTCTTATTGGAGGTAGGACTATTAAAATAAATCAAGCAAATTTTAAAAAGTCACTTAGCATTATGCAATAATTTAATCCAACTCTAACTTTTACTTGATATTATTTAGCATTATGAAATGATTTAATCCAACTCTTAATTCGGCAAGAATCCTGCAGTGGATTGCCATTTCCTTCTCTAGAGGATCTTCCCAACCCAGGGATCAAAGCTGCGTCTCTTGCATCGGCAGGCAGGTTGTTCACCACTGAGCCACCAGGGAAGCCTAATCCAACTCTAATTTTTACTTAATATCAGCATTATGAAATGACTTAATCTGACTCTAACTTTTAACTTAATACTAACATTATGAAATAATGCAACTCTAATTTTTCTTCCTAAAACAATTGATATAGAGTAGTTCTTATTTTAAAATAATCATTAAAATCTGAAGTTTTAATTGGTTTTATGGTTACATTTTAAATAAAACATAACCCCTTGCAGTTGTGGTTCAGTTGCTCAGTGTTGCAACCCCAGGGACTGTAGCCCACCAGGTTCCTCTATCCAGGGGGTCGTCCAGGCAAAAATACTGGAGCAGGTTGCCATTTCCTTCTCCAGCAGATCTTCCTGGATGAACACACATCTCCTGTATTGGCAGACAGATTCTTTACCACTGAGACACCAAGGAAGCTTAAAACATAACCCCTACTGTAGCCTTAAAAACAACTCCCTCACCATTTCTCTATATACTATATGTGCCGTCACACCAACATCTGATATAATAATGAAAATAATTAGTATCTCTTAGGAGTTTCTTTCCTATGTACCATTTATTAAGGTGGTAACATTACCTCGTTTTATGCTCATAACGGCCTCTGAAGTGGGTTCTCTTATCACGTGTATTTGACAGATGAGGGAACAGAGAAGGAGCAGTGACTTAACAACAGCACAGAGATAAGTGGTGAGGACCATGGACTCAAAACTAACACCATCTGACCTCAGAGCCCAGGCGCCGAGCTAGAGCAACTTGCCTTTTGACATGGTTGGTCTCCTCGCTTATATTTACCAAACAGGCACAAGATCACATTTGTGACAATTTACTTGTAGAGTAATGGACTCGGGCTTGCCCCTCAGGTGGAAGGCCCAGGTGCCCACCCTTTTACATTCATCACAAGCCTAACCTGGATGTCATACATCTCGGTCACTGCTTTGTATACTGGGTTGTTCTTATTTGGAACTCAGAGTGAGCGAGTGCTCTCAGCTTCACAGTCACTAGAAAAACCTGGTCTGTTTCTAACTGGGCTACAAGTTAAGCCCTGTAATTATACATCCAAATAGCTCACCAGGGGCTTCCCTGGTGGTCCAGTGGTTAAGACTCTATGAGTCCGTTGCAGGGGGCACACCCCGAACAGAGCTCAATCTCTGTTCGGGGAACTAAAATACTGCATACTTTGCAGTGCCTCCAAGTAATAATAACAAATAATTTACCACCACCTGAACTTCACCATGAGGACATTCCTAGAAGTTGCTCTTTTATTCAGATTACTTCATAAATTTGACTGTTCCAGAGAGGTTTAGAAAGGGAAGAGAAGTGAGGCGGCTCAGAATATTAGCTGTTAAAGACAAAGGAGCAGGCCTGGATAATACCGTCTGACAATGCAGGTATAAAATCCGGAGTCGTTGACTTTGGCAGGGAGGAACTTTAGACACTTCCCTGAGGCAACTATCCGATTTCCTCTCTGGGTAGTAATACTTTTGTTGGTTTTTGAGTAATACCAGTCCACAGGGTATGGAGATTTTTCTCGTCTGGGACATGTCACAATTAAAGCCTCATTTTCCAGGCCCAAAAATGATCTGCCTGCATTAAAAAAAACAAACAAACACATAAATTTCTTGAAGTGATCATATGAAAAGATTACAGTTTTGGTATTCTAAATATCCCCCTCTAAGCTTCCTCAGTGGCTTGGTGCTAAAGAACCTGCCTGCCAGTGCAGGAGACTCAGGTTCAATCCCTGGATCAGAAAGATCCCCTGCAGTAGGAATGACAACTTGCTCCAATATTCTTGACTGGGAAATCTCTTGGACAGAGGAGCCTGGCAGGCTGCAATCTATGGGGTTGCACAGAGTCGGACATGACTTAATGATTAAACAACAGCAGGATTAAATTGAGAAAGCTGTCATACTCTGTGATACTTTGAGAAAGAATAAGTAAATCATCTAGGCTCTTTTATGAAATATTCTAATGGGTACACTGGAGAAGGAAATGGCAACCCATTCCAGTATTCTTGCCTGGAAAATTCCATGGACAGAGGAACCTGACAGGCTACAGTCCGTGGGATTGCAGAGTTGGACACAACTGAGCGACTAACAGTGGGTACATAAATTAGTGGCTTAACCTTGACCTTGACCCTCCACATTGCTCCAAAGAAAAGCAGCCAAGTTCACCTACACAAAGCAAGTTGTTGAGTCAACAAACCCTGACCATACCTTCTATGTGCAGGCACCATGTTACATTTTGATGTATTTGAATGCATTAAATCAAAATGATGTTGTATTTGTTATAAAAAATTTGTCCCCATAAAGGGGACAAATGAAGAACTGCTGATGAAGAATAACTCTAGGGACTTCCCTGGTGGTGCAGTGGATAAGAATCCCCCTGCTAATGCAGAGGACACATGTTCGATCCCTGGTCTGGTAATATCCCACATGCCACAGGGCATCTGAGCCCGTGCCCCACAGTGAAGCATAGCCCCTGGTCCCCGCAACTACAGAAAGCCTGTGTGCAGCAACAAGGACCCAGAGCAAGCAAAAATAAGTAATAAATGGATTTTTAAAAAAGAATAACTGTAGAGCATAAATGAACTCTCCACACTGCCATTCAGCTAGAGCAATTGGATAGCAAGGCACATGTTCTTGGAATTACTTAATTAAAATTGTTTTAAATCTCATTTCGAAAGCAATACTTACTAAACTTAGCTGATGTGGAAGATATCAGAGCTGTTAGAATTACTGAGACCCAAAGTCTCATTCTCAGTTTCTCAAGTGAGAGCAGGTGTTGAGAACCGATTCTCAAGCTGATTCAGGTTGAGTATGTGACATCCAATGGCAAAGCTCCCACCTAGGAGATTGATGGTATTCCCTAAGACAGATAGTTGCAAAGAACTGTCAGTATCTCTACCAAAAAAATAAATCACGTGAAATCACAAGCAAGCAATTATCTGCCAATTAAAAATAAATTAATTAAAAAACCAATTATTCTCCAATTAAAAATAATTTTTAAAAATCACAAGCAAAATATTTACAGCCATGATTTTGACTTGCTTAATACCCCTGCCCCCTGCAAGGAGCATTCATCCTTAGCAGATCTTTAGTATACAAGCTGACTTCAGACACACATTATTGAATACTGGACCTTGGTGCCATGCAGACCTTATGATGGCCGTGTTGTTTCACTGTCTCATGAATGAAGCTAAATTAAGAGGAAAGAAAATAAGTTTCTATTTTTGGGAAAAAAAAAAAAAAAGAAAATCATAAAATTAAGAGACCCTAGACAACACAGTATTATAAATGCTGACATAAAACCACAAACATCCACACAGGCTGGTAACTGGTTGTGTGGTCACATGATCCCCTTCTTCCCCCAAGAACACAGGGAAGCTGTCATCCCATATTTCCTAAGGATAATAAGAAAGAGATGGGTAAAATGGCCATCAAATTATTGCCCTAGACATTATACCAAACACTGAAAAATATGTCTCTCATCCGGTTTGTCCCCAAGATCCACCAAAGGCTTTCTAAGATAAGTTGAAGGTCTACAAAAAACAATTACATTTTTTTTTCTTTCAACAAAAGGATAACAGCTATATATTTTTTTTTCTTAAAAAATATTTTTTTCTTAAAAAGTCAGAGGAAGGATGGAACCAATAAAGAAACTGACAAATACAACTACAATAACCCTTAATATATTTCAGGATAGCACATTTCCTCTAAGCATTAATTGTTGGTATTTTTCTCATTACTTGTATGGAAACGTTTTTACTATGAAATTTAGTTAAGTAAGGGATGCTTACCCAAAGTGAAGGGCAGAAGCAAAGAACTTCAAGTCAGTGACTGAGCCGTGAAGACTTTCCAGTTCTTTCGGCTTCTTCCTTACAGACTCCTCACACACACAAATTCCCTCTTTTATTTTAAAAGGGGAGATAAGAGACATCCTTCCACATACCCACTCCACCCACCCTAAAATTTCACCTTGAGCCAAAATCCATGACTCGTTCAAAAGTGCTGGTTCACTGTATACCAAGAACTCTTGACCCTGGTATGCAAATATTTAAGGACAACAGTGAATAATCCCTTGGAAGAAGTAATCAGATCTTATCTGTTTTAGCATCAGTTACTCAAGGTAATGCTTGGTGTTTGTGACTCCGATATTATTACACTCCGAGTTCCAAATGATCTGGAAATCCGGGAACACTACCGCTGCCCATCCAAATACTTCTTGATATTTCATTTGGCAGACTCTAGCGAGGAAGGCTCAGCCAGTTATAACAGCTTTGGTTCTGAGAGAGTTTCAAAAGCAAATGGGGGCAAGAGATGAGAAGTGAACAGACTCTAAGGAATTTTGCAAATGTACTATTTAAGGTCCAGAACTAACATAGTCTCATCCAAACACTGATTCCAGATCCTCAGATTCAAGTCCCTACAGGCTCTTAGACGGGAAAGGCAGGTTTTTCTAAAGAATTCATAGAAACAGAGGGACGTCGTAAGACTGCCTTACAGGGAATGACATGGAAAACCATAAGCCTCAACTCTTGGGTTCCATGTCAAACAAATGTTAGCTGCACATTTGCCTTTAGCTCCACACAGCTGGTGTGACTCAGTCATGAGTAAATTTGACTTACTTTCAAAACTCACCACACCCCGGAAGGATTCTGGGGCTGATTCCAGACTAGCACTGTAATATAATAACCAAAGCTAAGGCTTCTCTAGAATTCACTGCGTGTCACATACAGTTCTCAATGACTTCCATGTGTTAGCCCCTTCATTCTCACAACCACCCCGTGAAGCAGGCACTATTATTGTTACAGCTGTTTTACAGACAAGGACACTGAGACAGCAGGTGTTAGTTGTTCAGTCGCATCCTACTCTTTGTAACCTCATAGACTGTAGCCCACCAGGCTCCTCCATCCATGGGATTATCCAGGCAAGCATACTGGAGTGAGTTGCTATTCCCTCATCCAGGGGATCTTCCCAACCCAGGGACCAAAGCTGGGTCTCCGGCATCACAGGCAGATTCTTTACTGTCTGATCCACCAGGGAAGCCTTGAGACACCAACAGGGTAAGCAAATGGTACCAGTTATGCTATGCTAAGAAATGGAGCCAGAATTTGAACCCAAGCAGGTTGGCTCCAAAGGCTAGATTCCTAACTATTTTAGATTCTGTACTATTTTGCTACGATATGATGAAGGTTAAAAGAGGAGGTGCTGCCCAAGAAAAGTTTCAGTGGATTTTTGGAGCCCTTTGACACCACCACCACTCCCCGCCCTGCTCCCCTGTGGCTGGCAGTGTTTCTGAGGCAGGTGTCTCCTTCTGCACCAATATCAGTCATGTGGTCTCAGAGGGAGAGATGAAAAGTCTTGTCACTGCTGGGAGATTCACCACAAGATGCTGGCATCGCTTCAAGGAATTAGATCCGCTTGCCACTATTCTTGACTTAGCTGTTAAGATCATATGGGTTTTGGCATGAGAATCTGCTCCACAGAATCAGGAGAAGGCAAGCTTGTAACAGCGCCCAGGACACTGTAACCTCTAGGTATCATTTTGACAAACAAAATAATACTACCTTAAACAAGCTTACATTTGAATACAAACTTACATTTTGTATCCTAAAACATCTTAAAATTTTTAAATTAAGTTTAGGCATTTATTCCTTCAGACTAGGCCAGAGTTATCTTGGTTTCCTAGTTTTCAATAAGGCTTCAGTTAGAGTTTTAATAGCATACCCATGATATCTTGCAGAAGCATTTAATAAAGTCTAGCTATTGTGATAAATAAAAGCTATCACTATAAAATAATTCAATTATTCAACAATTAAGTCCTTGCATTTAAAGTACAATATTGCATAGTACTTAGCAGCAGCAGCATTCAAATTTTACAGGTTAAAATAAAAACCCAAGGATGAGACTGGTTAAATAATTTGACCAAGCTCACACAGTTGCGGCTGGGGTTGAAATCAGACTTGCTGAACCTCAAAGACATGTCTTTTTTGCCCCTAATCTCAACTAAAAAGAGAGATTACAGTGGTAAATCTTTCCTTCTTATGATTGAGACAGGGAGATGAAATAAAATAAATAGCCCTAATTTCCTTTAAGCCCATTTTCTATAGAGAACTAAGCCATTTTGGCCTCTAACTACTATGATACCATCCAGTGTAAAAACATGAAAGGCAAGAGCTTCCAATAAATAACTAAATCCAAGATATTGAGCAGCCATGAATTCTGCCAAGTTAAGCAGAAATCTTCCAATGCCTGCTGACTGCAAGGGCAGATTATCCTCTTTTTAAGAATTCTCAGAATTACTCTTCATTTTCAGAATTCAGTTCAGTTCAGTTCAGTCGCTCAGTCGTGTCCAACTTGTTGCGACCCCGTGAATCGCAGCACGCCAGGCACCCCTGTCCATCACCAACTCCCGGAGTTTACTCAAACTCATGTCCATCGAGTCGGTGATGCCATCCAGCCATCTCATCCTCTGTCGTCCCCTTCTCCTCCTGCCCCCAACCCCTCCCAGCATCAGGGTCTTTCCCAATGAGTCAGCTCTTGGCATAAGGTGGCCAAAGTATTGGAGTTTCAGCTTCAGCCTCAGTCCTTCCAATGAACACCCAGGACTGATCTCCTTTAGGATTTTCGGAATTAATCTAATTTGGCCATGGGGTGCTTCCCAGGTGATGCTAGTGGTAAAGAACCTGCCTGCCAATGCAAGAGTCTCGGGTTCTATCCCCGGGTCAAGGAAGATCCCCTGGAGGAGAGTTCGGCAACCAAGCCAGTATTCTTGCCTGGAGAATCCCATGGACAGAGGAGCCTGGCGGGCTATGGTCCATAGTGTCACAAAGAGTCGGACATGACTGAAGTGACTTTGCACAAAATTTGGCCATATATTTTTTCTGCCTATTACTAAGATGGAGTCTGGACATGGGACAGGGTTTGGAGTGAGAGTCCCTCAGTATGGGACGTATACAACCAGGTATACCTCTTAGACATACAGCTGGAGATGTCAAGGCATCAATGAGCCATTTGCTGCTGAAGTTCAGGAGACACATGTAGGTTAGAGACCTACATCCAGATATATATAAATTTGGGATACATGAGTGTATAGATGAAATTAAACCCACTAGACTGGATGAGATCTTCCAGAGTGCAAGCAGATAGACCTTGAAGCTACACAAGAGAAAAGCTGCTCACCTTCCCTGGAAAGTTTCCCTAGAGAGAGGTATTCATCTTTGCTTCACAGATCAGTTTGAACCTCTGGGTGTAAATCACTGCAGAAGTATTGAGAATTTTGCTCTTGTTAGTCGCTGAGTCGTGTCTGTCTCTTTGAGACCCCATGGACTGTAGCCCGCCAGGCTCCTCTGTCCGTGAGTTTCTCCAAGCAAGAATACTGGAGCAGTTTGCCATTTCCTTCTCCCGAGGATCTTCCTGACCCTGGGATTGAACCCAGTTTCCTGCATTGTCAGGTGGATTCTTTACCACTGAGCCACTTGGGAAGCCCCATCTTTCTCCATACTCACAAAAAACTGGAAAGTGTGGAAGGGCAAGCAGAGAAATATAGACCCTCATAATCATAGGACAAATATTTTGAAGGACGTAGATGAAGAGTTCTCCTATTGGAAAAGTAGGAATCTGAAAACCAAAGACGTCCCCGAACTTTTTGAGCTACTGGCCCACATATCCACATATAGAAGGATCAAGCTCCTCACCTACACATGCTGTTCAAGAGCAGAGAGAACTCTCCTTCCTGTTGGGGATTCTGTGATT